ACAGAACCATGGGATCCTTTCTCCTTTCTCAGAAACCAGGCTGGATGGAGCTCAGCAGCTCAGGCGTGGAGCAGCTTCACAGGCCATTACTGTGGTTTGGATGTAAAGTATCCCTTTGTTGGTACTTGGATTAAAAAGTCTGAGCAGACTTGAACCCAGGGAAACTCTGGACTCACAGACCATGTTTGCAGGAGCTTCTGAGGCCATGTCCAGCTCCAAAGCCACAAGATGTGTTGGAGGCTGTGGCAGAGGAGAGCCTGCCTGCTGCTGGACAGCCCTGCACCACAAACCAGCTGCAGCTCCCACACCACTGAAGAGCCACTAAAACCCTAAATGCTCCAATCAGAGCAGCTCTTTCTTCATCCCAAATCTTCTACTGGCTTCTGATCATCCATCGCCCTCCCCATCCCACCCCACAGCCCCCTGAGCCCATCAGTTGCTAATTGGAGCTGCAAGTAATGAGTGTCAGGCACCTGTGCTGCCTGAGCTCCTGCTGCTCTGGGGTGCAGTGACTGTGGGGGTGTCCCTGTGCCCGGCTCGGGGGCTCCCCTGGCTGGCATGGGGGCACAGCTGCCCTCTCAGGGGCTGCCACCCTGTCCTGGGCCCTCTGACCGCTGGCCTGGGCCCAGCAGCGTTTGTGTCACCAGAGCAGGGGATGGGAGGGGATGGATCGCAGCGGGCACCGGGCACTGCCACAGGGTGCCAGGGCTGGGCAGGAGCTGGGCTCACCCTGCAGCTGAGCACTCACCCGGCTGCTGATGGCAGCAGGATCAGCAGTGGGCCCAGCAGAGCCCAGGAAATTACCTGCCTCTGTGAATGTTATTTATTTATTTATTTATTTATTGTATTTTTTGTTCCATGCGCTTTTAGGAGGCAGGAGATTCTTAATACAGGGAGAGTTGGTATATTAACCTCACATTTCTGCTACTGAAAGGACTCTCTGGTCTGGCTTCTGCAGGAGATGTTTTGACAACAAAACAGTGCAGCTATGATTAGCCTGATAAAAGCGAGCCAGAGTTGGAGTATTGATGGTATGTGCATCTAGGATCTAGTTACAAAATGGGCTTTTAACCACATTTTCCCTTGCGAATTCCTGTTATCAAAGGCCATCTTAAAAGAAAAAAAAAAAAAAGAGAAAAAGAAAAAGACAGGCAACCTTTCTTTTTCATTTTAGATGGAGATGTATTTCTTTATGCTTATGAAAAACGAGCCATTAATAACCCTGCCCAGAAGCACACACAGAGCAGTGTGTGCTGTGCAGGTCTCCTCACCCAGAGCAGCCCCGGGAGCTCCTGGACCCAGCTGTGGCTTCATGAGGGAGCTCAGCACTCCCAAAGGATTGCATCCACACCAATGGACTTTCCAAGCTTTTCTTTCTTTTTTTTTTTTTTTTGGGATCTAATTTATTTTGAGAATACATTTTCAGAGCTGATTAGCTGCTGTACTAAATCACTGCACTGTCTAACCCCAAAAAGCTGCCCTGACAAACAATTAACAATAGAAACACCATTGTGGCAACAAGTGATGGATGGCTCCAGGGTGCAGCTTGGGCCCAGGCTTTGTTCAGAAGAACGTTGCTGCTGCTAAATAAAGACACGGGCAGTAAAAGGTGAGAGCAGAGAGATTGTATCTGGAATAAAACTATTTGCCCTGCTTGGGTGTGTTTCTCAGAGCACTGAGCATCTCGGGAGAGCCCCATGGCTCTGGGCATGGTCACAAACTGCCAGGGCACCAGGGAGTCATGGACTGGTTTGGTGGGAAGGGACCTTAATGATCACTGTGTTCCCCCCCTGGCACGGCAGGGACACCTCCCACTGTCCCAGGTGCTCCCAGCCCTGTCCCACCAGCCTTGGGCACCGCCAGGGATCCAGGGGCTGCTCTGGGCACCTGTGCCAGGGCCTGCCCACCCTCACAGGGAGGAATTTCCTCCAAAATCCCATCTAACGCTGGGCTGCCCTTCTTCAGCTTAAACCCCTGCCCTGTCACCCCCCAGGCCTTGAGGAAAGGCCCCTCCAGCCTCCCCCTTTGGAGGAGCAGCCGAGCCAAACCTCCTCCTGCCACCAGCTCTGGGATTTCTCTTAAATCCTTTCAAGGGCATGGGTTTGAGTTAATTTCTCTTGCCACAGGCAATTTCCTGATTCCTACTGCTCTGTCATTAGTCTCTAATTGTGATTCTAAGTTTTGTGTTAATTTACCAACTTGCCTGTAACTTATTGCTCTAAAGAGAAGTAGAATTAGTTATCACAATGCCTCATATTGATTTTATTATGCAGATATGAGAATCCATTTATTAGAAGTAATAAATATGAAGACACAGTGTAAAAAAGGGAGCTGGATATGCAGACCCTGTAATGGTAATTAAGGATTAGTTACTGCAGACCACTCAAAAGACATTGTGGTTGAAAGGATGATTTAAGGTCCACAGCATTTTAAAAAATTATGAAAAAGCTTGAGAAACTTTGCCAAACAAGCCAAACTACCTCCTGTAATCTGCACAGGAATGTTATTTTATGTATGCTTCAAATGCATCTAGGTCACAACTTTTTTAGGAATGAACAGAGTAAAAGAAAGTAATTGATTAGTCCAGTAAGTTATTTTCTCAGGAAAGTTTGCCATCTCCACTTTTCCTGAGCCCCAAGAAAACAGTTTGCTCATCCTTGACCTGTCCCATAGCAGTGTGCTGTGTTAAACACTGAGGTTGAATTATACTGATCATCACCAGCTTCCACATTAGAAATGAAGAAAAAAAAAATCAGAAAAATGAAGCATAAAAAGCTGTGGATGTGTTTGCTGGAGGAGCCTGTGGTGTGTGGGCAGGGCAGCTCTGAGATTCCCAAAGCTCTGGCTGTTGGTCACTGTCCCTGTGGGCAGGGCAGCTCTCCCGGATTCCCAAAGCTCTGGCTGTGGCTCACTGTGAGATTCCCAAAGCTCTGGCTGTGGCTCCCCTGTCCCTGTCGCCCCCTGCTCGTGGCACCGGGGCGAGCGCCGCTCTATCGGTACCCACAGCTGGGTGATGTTCCCTGCTGCTGACGAGGGGAGGGGGCACGGCCTTTCTGCTGCCTTCCAATGGCACTTCGCTCTGCTGGGGGGTTTCCCCACCCAAAGAGGACCTGCTCCAAGCCTTGAATTGGTTCTCATCAATACCTGCTGCCCCCTACTCACCCCTGTAGACTCTGGCCCATCCCCTGTCCCTGGTGCTGGGCGTGCTGCAGGGCTGGGAGCCTTTATTACATTGGAGGCTGCAAAAGCCTCGGAGCAGCTGCTCCCACCGGCCCAAATGCCCTGGAGGTGCTGAGGGCTGCCCGCTGCTGTCCGCTTTGCCCTCTCCCCCTTTTCCCCTCTCCCCTCTCCCCTTTTTCCCCTCTCCCCTCTCCTCTGCCCGCGCCTGCAGTTCCGGCCGTGCCCGCCAGGTGCCGCTCTGACAATGGGGTTGCGGCGGGCGCTGCCCGCGGGGCTCGGGGCTCCCTCGCACCCGAACCGAACCGAACCGAACCGAACCCCGAACCCCCGGAATCCTGCGCCCCACACCCTGCACCCCCCTAACCCTGCACTCCCCGAACCCCGCACCCCTGCACTTCCACCCCGCACTCCCTCATTTCGCTCCGTGCCCCGTCCCGGGCCGCCCGCAGGCTCCGGTGGGAAGCGCGGCCCGGCTGCACGGAGAGGCTGCGGGCGCCAAGGTGCTGGGAATCATCCGCCGCACCGGGGAGCGCGGAGCGATGGAGAGCTGGACTGGGACACTCCTTCTGTGCCGCGGGCAGCCGGTTGGGCAGGGACGGACCGGCCCGAGCCCCAGCACCGGCTGCGCCCCGCTCGGACCCCGCTGCGGTGGCTCGGGAGAGCGGGGGGTCCGTGCGGCCGCTGCCCCGGAGAGGGGCTCCAGCCCGGCTCTAGCCCGGCTCCTCCGAGGGACGCCGAGGAATCCTGTCATCGTGTTTCTGTCATCAGAAAAACATTATCAGCAGAACAATTCCCGCACCACACCCCTGTTATCATTTAGGTAACCTCCCTGTTTGAAATATTTTAAGTGGATAATAAAATAGTCACCATATCCGTGTAAATTCCCGCAACGAGGAGTCGGGATCCTCTTCCCGGCCGGGCCGGCGCCCCCGCCCGCGGCAGGCGGGCGGCTCCGCGGAGCTCCCGGGCGGCCGCAGCCCCCGGGCCGCCCCCAGCGTGGGCTCGGAGCGCGGGCACGGACGTGCGCCCATGGCCACGGGGACCGAGCCGTGCCCTGTCACTGAAGGATCGGCACAAAGCCGGCGGGGAGGTCACTGCGGGCACACGGGGCTCCCTCCCGGCCCCCCCGGTGCGGGCGGGGCGGCGCTCCGGGGATGCTGCGGCCGCCCGGGGCTCACCTCGCCGCGGGACCGGGAGGCTGCGGGACAGCCCGCGACGCGCGGGAGGCAGACCGGGGGGAGGAGCGTCGGGACAAACGCATAAAACCGGCCCCAGGTGCTCGGCGGCCCCGGCGAGCGGGCGGCGAGCGCGGAGTCAAAGCTGCGGCCCCGCAGCCGGCGCGGAGCAGCGCGGGGTGCGGGCCCCCGATGCCGCCCGGCGGGCCGGGGCCAGCCCCGGGGGCGTCCCCCGGTGACACCCCCCGGAGCCCCCGCCGCGTTCCCCCGGGCCGTGCCCGCGGCAGGAGGATCGCGCTGAGCCTGCCCGCAGGCAGGTGATCCGTCTGCCGCTCCTGTTCCCCTCCTGCCCACCTCCCCGCCTCGCTTCCCCCCCGGCTGGACAACTCCCTCCTTGGAGAACACGCCCAAGTAGCTGAAAAAGAGAGAAAGAGAGGAAAAAAAAAAAAGAGGGGGGGTGTTGTGTGAAGAAGAGAGAGAGCCAATTCACACCGAAGGTGGGCACGCGGCTCGCAGCACCCGCAGCCCGTCCGGCCCCGCGCTCCCGGACAGCGCCCGCAGCGGGGCCATGCCCAGAGCCGCCGGCCGGGGCTCGGCGCGGAGCCGCGGGCGCTGCGGGGCGCGGCGGGGGCTGCCCCGCTCGGCCGGGCGGCCGTGAGCGCCAGCGACGGAGCGGCCCCGGCCCCGGGCGCGCCGGGCATCGTTTCGCGTGTTGGTCTGAGCCACGGCAAGCAAGGAATATGAACAGGAAAACAAGGCGCTGGATCTTCCACATCTTCCTGAGCCTGGGGATTGTGTATATCAAGATTGGGTAAGTAACTTTTTTTTTTCTTTCCTTTATAACAATCGCGCTCTCTTTCGCGCTCAGCCCAACCTGCCCAGACCTGTTACTATTTAACTCGAGAAGTCTCAAAAAAAAAAAAAAAAAAAGTGATGATGGTGGAGATCACGATTATTTCTCTAAGGACAGGTAAAGCGCGCCTCGGAGCGACCCTCCCGGGGGGCGATGTGCGGGGCTGCGAGGAGCTGGGTCCGTGCCGGGAAGGGACGCCGGGGCGATTCCCGGGCAGCCGGCCCTGCCCCAGCCCGGTGCGGGGCGCTCCCCGGCCGGTACCTGCCCGCGCTCCCGCAGGGACATCCCTCGGCCGCTCCGCCCGGGGGACAACGCCGCCGGCCCGGGAGGGGCGCAGGGAGGGCGGCGGCGCTCCGGGCCCGCAGCATCCCCGGCCAGGTGCGCTGCGTGCGGGAGGAGGCGGCCCCGGGGCAGGCAGCGTGGGTTGTCCCCCTCCCTTCCTTCCCTCCCTGTCTCCTTCTCTCCCTCTCTCCTCCACCTGCTCGGCAGGTTTGGGAAAACCCTGCCAGCCCCCTGCCAGTGCGCGGCCCGGGCACACAGTGCCGCTGCCCGCGCTTTAATTCTGGCAGGAGGAAGTTTGCTCCTGGTTTGGCAGGAGCCGCGCTCTGCCCATCTCTGCCCCGGCTCGGAGAGAGGGACGGGGAGAGGGCAGCGCGGGCAAAGGCGGGCGCTCCCCGGGGCACGGGGAGGCAGCGGTGCCGCTCTGCCCCCGGACCCGCCTGCCCTCAGCCTCCGCCGCCGTCTTGTCTTGCAGGGGCTTCTCCTCTGTGGTGGCCCTGGGAGCCAGCATCATCTGCAACAAGATCCCGGGGCTCGCCCCCCGGCAGCGGGCGATCTGCCAGAGCAGGCCCGACGCGATCATTGTCATCGGGGAAGGGTCCCAGATGGGCATCAACGAGTGCCAGTTCCAGTTCCGCAACGGGCGCTGGAACTGCTCGGCCCTGGGCGAGCGGACGGTCTTCGGCAAGGAGCTCAAAGTGGGTACGTGCTCTGGGCTCTGCCCCGCCCGCCCGAGGGCACGGGATGGCGGCACGGGCACCGGGGTGGCACGGGCACCATGGGCACTGTGGGCACTGCCGGCACGGCGGGCACTGTGCGCACCTGGGCGCTGTGCTGGCACTGCCGACCGGCTCCGTCCCGGCACGGCACCTGCCTGTGCTTCACTCCGGTGTGTGCCAGCTCCCACCTGGGCACTATTTCACAGCCCTGCTCTCAGAAATCCTCTCCAAAGAGCTTCCCGTATTGTGCACAGGACCCGATTCATGTTCTTAGGGATGGGAGAAAAGAGGACTGGCTCTTGCTGAAGGCAGCAGTGAGAGCCAGGGTGCTGAGCAGAGCTGGAACTGCACCTGTGGGGTTACTGGGCTGATGTGGGATCCAGGCACAGCCATCAGTCTCGCTGTGAGAGATCCCCAGCACACAGAATCCTTGCACAGCAGCTGTGCCCCTGTGCCACGAGGAAGAGTGGGTGTGTTCTGCTTTGGGATGTCAGGGCATTCAGAAATGCTGCTCCAATCAACTGACAGAAGATCCCACTTCCATTTTCCATGTTTTCAGTTATTGCAGCAGTAAAAAATATATGCAAATTCTGAACTAAGGCAGTATTGATAATAACTAATGTAAATACCTGAAGAAATGGAGCTGAGATTAAAACTCTCATGCCCCCATTCTGCAAAACACTGTAGTGAAACTTACCCAACATTTCTTTGATTCCACTTAAAATGCGAAGACCAAGGAATGTGTTTTCCAAATACAGGCTAGTCTTTTTTAGAGACAGCACTGAAAGCTCACAGCACTGCATTCCACATCCAGAAGGATCTGTGGTTTCCAGTCTCTTCCCCGTGTAAAATGAAGTTGCAAAAACCCAGAAACCCCATCAAGCAATACTTAGCATGGTAGGAACTGTGGGTGTTTCATGAGGAGAGCAGGCAGCCCAGAGAAAGGGACCAGGGCAGCCCTGGATGGGCTGGCCCCAGGCACTGCTCAGGCCCAGGGCAGGATCTGTGCCAGGCCCTCACTGCTGGCACTGCCATGGAACACAGAGGCTCTGGAGCCCCTGAGAGCACTGGGTGTGTGTTTTACCACAGCAGGGCACACTGACAGGTGTTCTAGGTAAGGAAAGAGCAGGAAGAGAAGAATTCGTCTCAGTTTGGAAACCCTGCCTTTGAAAACCTTTGATAATCAGAGTGGCTCAGGTAGACAAGGGAAAAAGCTCCCTGCACAACGCTGGGGAAATCTGAAAATGGAGCATTTATCCAGGTTAGCTCATGTTTCTGTTCCTTGAGCTGAGCCCTTCCTGTCAGCGATGCAGGCGAGTGTTTGCCACTTCTGTCAGTGAAGAGTCCATTTGGATGGCTGGCAGGTTTGGGTTCTTTTAGTCCAAAAGTAACATTTCCTTAAACAGAAAATGTGAGAAGGAGTTTTCTTCTCCCAGAAATTAGAAAATTGCGGAGTTGTTGTGGTCTGTTGTGTAAACATGCTCTCAGTTCCTTCCCTCCCTCCGAAAATTGAATTATTTAGCTAGCGGGTTATATTTAGGTCCTTTTAAAGAAAGTCAATATCAAAGGAAGTAGACTTTGATCTGGCTTTGAGGTGATAACTCTTAATATGTTCTATCTATCCATTATGAGACTAAGATGGATAGGGCAAATTCTTCCTGGTTTCAGAACACAGTCAAGAGTTGAATGGCATCCAAATTACAAAACTCCATAAAAATCATTTAAAGAATAACAAACCCCTAAAATTTAAACAGGTTACACATGTTATTTTTAAAGTAGACTTTGGTAAAAATCACAGGGGGTTGAAATCCAAAGGTGATTTTTTTCTTTTGCACAGACATTCCTGTGGTCTCAACGATAAAACTACTTAGGCTCTCAAACACCACAAGATATTTATAACTGTTCCTGTTCAGGTGGTCTCCTTGTTCTCCTGCTTCTTCCCTTCAGCAGGTATAGAAACTCTGAACATCTGACACAGCTCATCTTTCTATGGCTATGGGGAAAAGGCATCTCTTGCTCTTTCCCAAGGATCTCTGCCAGGATGTGTTCCAGGTTAAATAATATTTTCCTTGGTTAAAAAGGGTGCAACCCATGTGCCATAAAGCCATAAGTCAAATTTGGTGCCCACAAACAGGAGATCAGGTTCTGAGTGCCTTACCCTGAATTCTATGAATGTTGTGCAAATATACTGCAATTATTTAAATTCTCTTATTGCCACTCAGGGCGATTCCCCTCCTGGCCCTGCTGTTGTGTAGCTAAGGGTCATGGCACACTCTTCTGTGTTTCTCGTTTCCAATCTTTAAAATGGCAACAGGAATATTAACCTTATTGAAACACTTGGAATTCTCTAGAAGGAAAGCATCAAACAATATTTCCCTGTTCTAACCTGTAGCATGTGAGTATTTTTAAAAATTCACATACAACCCATCATCCAGTGAAGTGATAGTTTATTTGTGGAGTTTATTTGTAGAGGTACAGTGAGCAACCCTGTGAATTCATCCTAGAGCATTTTTGTGCTCACTGGCTTGAGTTTCCCACTGGTGGCAATGAGCTCCCAGCAGTGCCCAGCGCTGACTTTCCATTTCCTGGGTATTTTATCTGCTTTGCCCTTCCAAAGAGAGATGTTCCGTGTCCCCTCCTGACACCCTGTGGATGTGACCCCGTGCCAGCTGGGGACAGCAGTGCCAGGACACGCAGAGAAGTCACAGAGTGCCACCAGACTGCTCTGCTTCAGTCCCGGAGGGAGCAATGGAGCCCAGACCAACGCAGGGATGATTTTTCTAGACCATTCCACAGACATCTTATTAATAATGTAGAGTGGCAGAGAGAATTTCTAAAATAACCATGGAGATGACGCAACGCTGCAATTATGGACACACTTAAAACCAAATATATTTGCCACAGTGGTCAGCAGTTCTGTTCCTGAGGACGGCCACAATCAAAACCAACGTTTTTAAAGCAAGAGAGGCCCAAACTCTCCTGCCTGTCTGTCTTCAGGTGAAACGTGGTTCAAGCCCGAGGATCTGAGATGGCTTTGATGGAGTCTGAAAATCAGATTTGGGCTCTGCTGGATCATGGGAAGAGTGAGAGCTGTGCCCAAGGCTTTCTTTCCATCAGGTGCCTCAGGGGCCCGATCTGCAGGGTGCAACCTCGTGAGCAGGTGGCCAGCAGTGACTCTGCTGGTGTCCCAAAGGACTGCCTTGGGCACAACCACATTTCATGGGATCTGGAGGACACCATCACTTTGGCATCAGAGGGGGAAAACCCCCATCTCCTTTTGCCACAAGTGAGCAGCACTGGCACTGTTAAACAAGAAAGTGAAGTGGGACAAAGCAGAGGGACATGGCCAAGTGGAGACCCCTCAGGACAGAACTGAGAGAAGAGAGGCACAAGAGCCCTGCAAAGGCTGCAGGGACCCAGCAGGGGGAGGATGGAGGGAGCCCTGAGGTGTGAGTGGTGGTCTGCAAGGAGCATTTCAGCAAAACCTTTCAGCCAGGTCGTCATCCTGGCCTTACTAAAATGCATCAATTCCTTGCTCTCTTCTACCCTGGAAAATGCTTCAGTGCAATCCCATTGATACTGCACCCACCTGACATTACTCTTGGGAATAAGGAAAGCTGAAATCAGAAGAAGTGTCCCCACAGACAGGCTGGTCCCAAAGCTGATGAGCAGAGCAGGGCAGGTCTGCACGCTGTGCTGATGCCTTGGGCTCAGGGATCACCCCGGGCTGCCCTGAGGCACACACTAAACCAGGAGAGCCTGCTGCCTTTCCTCTGTGCACTGCAATGCTCTGCACTGAATTAGCACTCATTCATTTACCAGGTACTAAAATCAACTTTTCTTCTATGGCTTCAAACACCATAAGGAAAGAGGGACATTCCCAATCCTGCCTATTGAGGCAAATGGCAACTGTCCTACAAGGCAAAGCCTTCCCTAACCTGTTCAGAGCTGGCAGCTCTCCTGCTGGTATGGAAGAGAGAAGATGATCTAGGAACATTTTCCTCTCCAGCTGGGTAGATTTAACACAAAATTTAACAGGAAAGTTATGAGTAAATCTTCATATTGTCACTGTGTTATAGACAAACACTTGTGAAAACATCCCAGTACAGGTGTGCTGAAGAATAGATTTAATCTTCAGTCATTTCAGGGAGCATTTTGACTTTAAACACTGCTGTAGTCTCTCGAGCCAGGTTTTAAAGTCTGATAGTTTGAATTCCAGAATAACAGACCAAGTGAGCAACCACTGGTGGAATCCCAGAATCCCAGAACCTCCTGGGCTGGAAGGGACCCTGAGGGATCATGGAGTCCCTGCACAGACACCCCAACAATCCCACCCTGTGCACCACTGAGAGTAGTGTCCAAACACTCCTGGAGCTCTGGCAGGAAAATCCTTCTTGTTTTTGTTTTGCATGGAAGATCATCTGCCCAGCTCTGTGGGAAACAAAGCTCTGAGTGCTGCTGCACTATGTGGTTTGGTCAATATTTAGAGGAAAGTTTGAGAAGTACTCTGTTTTGTCAACCACTGCTGTTAGGAAGCCCCCAGGATGCACAGAAAAAAAATGTAATTAACTGGAGTCTTTCTATCTAGTCAGGTGAGGTCAGAGTTTGAATTTCTGTGCTAGGTTTCCAGCCCCTACAACCAGTTTTTACTGTCAGTGTCTTGCATGAGAACAGTTATTTGCAGGCAAAACAGAAGCCGGGCTGAAATATGGCCTGATCATCCAAAGCTGCTTTGTGCCAAAAAGTCAATCTTTCTCAGCAAGGACTGTCACTGCAAGATAAAACATTGCCCCAAGGTCACTGCAGTTGGAATTCCCATCACAAGGTTTTCATACCTGCCTTCAGAATTGTCTTGTGAGTACTTGTTCCAGAGGAACAGAGAGATTGCATCTGGCTGGGGAGGTGGGAGATCTGTGGCAGGGCAGGGTTCCCCAGGAGCGCGGGGGTCTGGGGGCTCAGAGCCCCCTCAAAAGGGGAGACTTA